CACACACACACACACAAAATAACTGAAGCTGCTGATTGAAGAACGTGTAAAACTAAAAAGCAGCTTGCTGTTCGTGTTATACGTTTTACCGCCGCAGAGTTTACAGACTCTTCCATCTTCCTTTAGCTTTCCACGCAACTCCAAACACGTACAAACGCAAGAACCTGGAGAACCTGGTGGACAGTAAACCCTGCGGCATCGACTGCTACATGTACCTCGTACAGGTGAGTCCGCTGATCCTCACGCTTCTGAAACGGTCATTCAGTATCTCGCCAGTGCTCGTTGTTTTCTTTCTGACTCTGATTAAATGAGTTTGCTCTGCTTCCTCAGGACGGGATGGTGAGCGAGTACCCTGCAGGTGTGGTAGCGGAGCGGGCCAAGACGCCCTCCAAACGCTCGGTGGGGCGTCGCCGCGGACGGCTGCCCAACAGCAACAGCCGACCCAGCACCCCCACCGTTTCCTCGGAAACCAAAGACACGGACAGCGACCGCGAGGGCAGCAAAGAAGACGAGCGAGAGAACGACAAAGACGACGAAGACAAGAAGGACGAGAACACCAGCAGCTCAGGTAACGGCGGCAGACTCTGCTCCGCCTGGGTTGTAAAACGTGGAGAAATAGATTTATTCTTCACCTCTTTATGGAGATTAAACTCTCTGTTCTGTTTCTTTTTAATATCACAATCCAAATCATAACAGTAACTCCTCTCAGGGAGCGAGAGTCTTGCAGATGGAGAACAAAGATGAGGGGAAGAGGCAGCAGACTGCTCTGTAATTAATAATTCACAATTCCCTCATGCGAGGCTCAGCGACGTGCAGCTCCACACAGATAATCTTATCTCTGAGAGCACAGGAGGGTGCAGGTTCTAACGTTGTAGTCCTCATATTAAAACACTTGCGTTCTTTAAGAAAACAGTGCAGGAACTGTGGAACCAGAGGATCTAAACCAGGAGCTTCAATACAGTTTTAGTTCTTCTAAAGGTTCTTTGGTCGCCAGAGAAAGTTCCTAAGTGTGTGTGTGTGTGTAGAGGGGAACTCGCGGTGTCAGACTCCAGTGAAGATGAAGCTGACCGGCGAGGCTGAAGCGGTGGACTGGAGCGGCGCCGAAGCCTCTCTGTTCAGGGTTCTCATTGGAACGTACTACGACAACTTCTGCGCCATCGCCCGGCTCATCGGCACCAAGACCTGCAGACAGGTGAGCCCACAGTGACGAGTCCAGACTGAGGCAGAAAGTTCCTCTTAAAGCCTCAAAGTGTGACGGACACACGGTCTAATCTGGTATCTTGTCCTGCAGGTTTACGAGTTCAGGGTCAAGGAGTCGAGCATCATCGCTCGGGCTCCCGCCGAGGACGAGGACACGCCGCCTAGAAAGAAGAAGAGGAAACACCGACTGTGGGCGACTCACTGCAGGAAGATCCAGCTGAAGAAAGGTCAGTCACCGGTTACCTCGTCTATCCGCTGTACCCGAGTACCAGAGGCACAAACAGGCAGATAAACGAGGACACTCTCTCTTACAGATGGCTCGTCCAATCACGTGTATAACTACCAGCCGTGTGACCACCCGCGGCAGCCCTGCGACTCCTCCTGTCCCTGCGTCACCGCTCAAAACTTCTGCGAGAAGTTCTGCCAGTGCAGCTCTGAGTGTAAGAACAGTGACAGGTGTTAAACATCCCGCTGTCTCTCCTCACACGTTAAACTTTACTCTCGCTGTGTGAACGCAGGTCAGAACCGCTTCCCCGGCTGCCGCTGCAAAGCTCAGTGCAACACCAAGCAGTGTCCCTGCTACCTGGCGGTGCGGGAGTGCGACCCCGACCTCTGCCTGACCTGCGGCGCTGCGGACCACTGGGACAGCAAGAACGTGTCCTGTAAGAACTGCTCCATTCAGAGAGGAGCCAAGAAGGTAACAGTCTTTATTGAACACCTTGAACTGGGAAGAAGAAGCTCGTTGTGATGTTTGTAAAGCAGTTTTGTGTCTCTCAGCATCTGCTGCTGGCCCCCTCCGACGTGGCAGGGTGGGGCATCTTCATCAAAGAGCCGGTCCAGAAGAACGAGTTCATCTCTGAGTACTGTGGAGAGGTAGGAAGGGCTCACTGTAACACTGATAACAGATAATAACTCTGTTCTCTCTTCTACACGAGTCTCACATTAGATGATTAGATTTGAATGTCTCGGTGGGAAAATGTGTAATTTGCTGAATGTGTGTGCAGATAATCTCTCAGGACGAAGCAGATCGCAGAGGGAAAGTCTACGACAAATACATGTGCAGCTTCCTCTTCAACCTCAACAACGGTAACACACATTATACACATTATATACACATTATACACACATTATACACATTATATACACATTATATACACACATACACATTATACACACAATACACACATAACACACACTCATGACATCTATACACACACTGATACACACACTATACACACACTTATACACACCATGTATACACATTATACCACACACCTATACACACACTATACACACATTCATACAACATAACACACATTACAACATTTATTACATTACTGCAGACATAAGCCTCTTTACGTGACTCGAGTATACACGAGCATTACACATTCTCTCTGGAGTCTCGGGAGCGCACAATACTACCAAGATAGCAATCCGAGTCACACGGAAAACTCTAACAATCCTGAACTTGAAACACGCCGATCACAAGCTGGCTGCCGCATATCTCCAGTCTGTGGATTAGATACCAATGTGTGGGCAAGCAACGGGAGTAGAAGAGCCTCGCTGACAGTATGACTTCCTCAACTGACTTGCCTGAGATGTCTTACAATTGCTGTAGCATCGTACCGCTCATTTGAGTATGATAA